GAAGAATCGCTGGGGACGTATTCCGGTCGACCGATTTCCATGACGTCGTTCCAAGTGAAAGAGCTGTCGGAACCGACATTCGCAGTTACAGTGGACAAAGCGCAGGAAAGACGAAGCAGAGGACGAGACGACCGCCATGGGAGCGTGGTTAAGACGCGCTTTGAGAGAGCGTGGGACGTTAAGGAGAAGGTGAAGGCGTGATTCAAGAAGCAAGCTCCATAGGCCATTTTGATAGACATGTCCTGTTTGAATTGTAACGGGTGGTAATCACTTTTTGTTGAGAAAAAATTGTCAATTATATTTTAGGATATTTAAATTAATTTAAATTTTATATATTTATATCAAAATAATCACGATTTATTGTTATAACTCCATATAAATAATATATTCTTATCTAAAATAATAATAATTCCCAACTGTATCATCTTCGAATTTCTATCAATGAAATTCATCTCTCTAATCTCTATTAGCAAAATGTATTATATATTTTTATATAATAAGAATCTCTAAATACATTTTTCTATTAAAGAGCTCTCTTATTTTTTATTAATTAATTAATTATAATAATATTAGGACAATAGATTAATCACAATATCTAAGCCAAAATTGTGAATATAGGACGAATACCAGTACCATCATTTAGGTTTAATTATTATCGAGTTTATCTTTTATTCAATTTTTACTGATAAAAATATTATTTAAACCAATTATATCTTAATATTAAAATTTATTCGGTTTGAATCCACTTTGGTTACATATAATGGAACCGAAATGTCAAAGGAACCAAAAGCTGAATAATAACTATTTTATAATTAAGGAAAAACCAAATGTTAAGAATTCAGACACATGAAGAAACAACAAGGAAGACCAAGATTCTTAACTAAGACAAGATCAAATACAAAAGCTTGAATTATAACACTTATCAACTTCATGCCCCTTCCTGCTTATGATTTCAATACGCTCTCTTCTCTCCAAAATGTTCACAATCTCTTGAACTGTTGAAAGTATAGGTGGATTCTTCTTCAATCCAGCTTCACAGAAGAAAACAAGTAGTGGACGAACCAGAAGGAAGAGAGGAAACCGACCGAGCCAGTCACGAACATGATGGCAAGAACCATCAAGAACGAGTAGCCCAGGTAAAGAGTGGCCGAGACAGGACCGCTCAGGCTTTTCAGGTCGAAGACCAGATAGTTTATGGAGTATATGAAGATGTATATAGCCACTGAGCCTGAAGCAAAGAACGACTTCCACCACCATTTCCAGTCCTCAACGCAGAGATGCATGTATGTCAACACTAGGGATACCTCAGCGCACACAACCACTAGGAGGATCAGGACGATGAATAGGAACCCGAAAACGTAGTAGACACGGCCCATCCAGATGCTGGACATGATGAAGAAAAGCTCGATGAAGAGGGTTCCGAAGGGTAGGGTTCCAGCCCCGAAAACGAGAAGCCATGACGGGTATTTCTGGGCCGGGATTTCTCGGGGGATTTGATTGGTTCGAACTGGGTATTCGATGTGAGGAGCCTTGGCACCAAAGTAACCGCCGATAAGAGTGAGGGGGACCGAGATGCAACACCCCGCCGATAAGAGTGAGGGGGACCGAGATGCAGAACCAGAGGAGGAGGAGAATGACAAACAGAGAGAAGGGTATGGCTCCAGTGCTATGACTGCCCCATAGAAGGAAGTTCAGCGTTGTAAGGATCGAAAACGCTATGCCCGGGAAAAAGCAAGCGGCTTTCCATGCAACGGATACCCATCCATGGTGATTACCGCAGCTGATTGTCCTCCAAAGTCGAACTGCAACATAACCAGCTGCAATACCAAGAATCATGTAGAAGAACAGCATACCTGTGATAAGTGCTCCACGAGAAGCTGGTGACATGAACCCAAGAGCAGCAAACAAGATAGTAACAACAGCCATGCCGAGAATCTGAACACCATCACCAACCATTACACACAAAAGCGACGGATTTGATGGAGCCCGGAAAACATCCCCAACGACAAGCTTCCACCCCGATAACTCCTCATTCATCTGAGCTTGAGCCTCCTTGTCAAGTTCCTCATAGTGGGTCAAATCCCGCCTAACAGTTCTCAAGAATATCACAAGAACAATGCCAGCCAAGAACGTGATAACCATAAGAGAGTTCAAGATTGAGAACCAGTGAACCTTCGCTCCCTCCATCTTCAAGTAAGCATCCCATCTAGACGGCCATTTGATATCGCTCAGCTCAAAGCTGACTTCATATGTAAATCCAATCGACTGGCCTTCCCTGATAGACATAGATACACTGGTGGAATCACATTTGATTGGGCTTGTGTATCTGTCATACATTTTCAACTTCTTTGTGGTGTCCCCATTATGTGCGAAGCTACAAGGAATCACCTCAAACCCGACAACCATGTACCCGGGTTCATCTGAATCCTTCTTCCCCATTGTTGGAATCATCTCAGCTGCATCCCCAGTACCCATGACCCGCGCCACATTTGGGTCTTCGTATTTGTGGACAAGAACCTTGAACTTCAAGTGGTTGAAAACGTAGTAGACGCCCTGCACCTTAATCCCGACTGGAAACCCCGTCCACCTCAGAACGTAACCATCTTTCTCCGTGTACCGAATGGCGGGTAAATTGTCGAGGATCAGATTAACTTGATACATCTCATCAATCCTCTTCTTCAAAAGCTTAAAGGTATCAGCATTCAGCTTTTCAGTCTGACACATGAAGATCTCGCTCTCATTGGTGAACATCTTAAACTTATAAGGCGAGTTCTCGATCCGATCCCCCATGAGAAGTTCACCAAGATTCTCTGCACTATCTTTAACACCATCGGGGGGTTGGCAGAATGGCAAACTGTAATAGCTAAACGGCATCTCCGTTTCGATCGAAGTAAGTGAATTCACTTTCACATTCAACGGATCACCGACCTTATACTTATGGGGATAACTACCAGGAAGATAAAATCCATACGCCGATTGAGCAATGAAGACCATTGCAAGCACCCAGATTCCGAATCGATCCATCGAGCTCAAATCCGAACAAACCCGCATAAACTTCGACAGATCTGGATGACCCAGATCGGGAAATAACCAAAAGAGCACAGATCTAAACCTTCTCCGCAACAAAAATCTTATCCACGAAGTGATGCGACACAGAAACAGAGTCGAGATCGGGACTCACCTACGTGGAGAAGAAAAGACGAGTTTGTGGAAGATCCGATCAGGGAGAAAGGTTTGGTCCCTTCACCGGAGGAAACGACGGCGATTGACGTCGATCGAAGTGGGGAATAACGTGAAGATGATCGGCGACGAGTGCACCGAATGAAACGAGTAAAATGTTGCTCGGGGCCAACGATGGCAAAATCTCGAGTCCCGTCTTATAACATCGAGAAGCGAAATTAGGCTGATTCTTCATTACTTTGGCCCGGATGTTTATGTTAATTACCGTTCTTGCCACTATGTCGGTGTGAAAATTGTGTTTGATCTTTGATTGGTTGAGTTTATTTTCATGAACACAAAAAAAAATCTTTAAGATGCTTTTAAGAATTTCCTGAAAATAAAATATTTGGAGCTTTCTAATTAATTTTTGTCATTACATTGTCATTTCTATTTGATCACCAATCAATTCAAATCAAATACATTATAATTCCGAATAGAAATTTGATTTAAATATTTTTTAAAAAGGAATAAATCAAATTCAAATCAAAATCATCGGAAAAAATAAAAATATATTTAGAAATGAATATTTTTATTAATAACCATCGAATGGAAATAGAACGCGTATCCACCAACCCTAAATATTTAGAAGTAAATAATATTATCTTAGCATATATACGTATAGACAGGGTTTTTTTTTTTTTTTTTTTTTTTTTTTGCTAAAATGATTTAATGAAACATAAATACAATATTGGATAAAATATTTTATTGAATCTTAAAATCATGTTGAAAACAACGTATGAAGTTTTACCTTCAAGAATTCTATAAACGTATACAAGGAACAAAAAAATTTCTGGGACGTGAAACTTTACTAATCAAAAGGTAATGAAAAAATGTGGGTAGAAAAATTAATATAAATAGCTAAATGGCCCATTGAAAATTAAAAACCATTGATAAGATAACTCCGCAAGGGTAAGAAAATATATTTAACAATTAAAATAAGAAAATGGGCCCAACCCAGTATCAATATATGGTCCAACTCGGTTTAAGAGTACACAAAATTAAATAATTAAAATTTGTCTGCACGGTTTATATATATATGATGCGTATATGTGTGTATATTTAATTATGTCTGTGAAGTCTGTATACATATATACATATACATACTCGCACGCTTACACATAGATACACACATATATGTATACGTGTGTATATATACATGTATATATACTCGCACGCTTACACATAGATACACATATATGTATACGTGTGTATATATACATGTATAAATGTGTACGTGTCTATATGTACATGACTACATGTATATGTGTATAATATGTGAAAAATATATATATATATATATATATATATATTAATATGTGTTTGTATATATATTTAATTTTTTAAAATTGTTGATGCGATGATTTTTTAATGACGTGACATTTATATTTAATGAAAAAAAATAGATTTTAGAAGAGTTCGTTTCTTTATTTAAAAGTTTAAGAATTTTATATTTGTGTGACATATTTTGTACAAGATGTTACATAGCAGTATTCTATCAAAATCAAAAATAAGATTTGAATCATTTTTTCTCTAAAATTTTGTTTTCAATATATTCCTAGTGGCTAACTATTACATTGATTTTTCAAGATAATAATAATAATAAATAATAAATAATAATAATAATAATAATAATAATAATGGTACAACGTTTATAAGATATGTGTCACGGTTGGGCCAAATGGAGGCCTAGCCATTGACCACAACTACACGAAAACCATATCATTTAATTGAATATGGAAGTGTGCCCATTCGAACCGACATTTCTAAAAATGTGCAAACATCATACGACGACCAAAGAACCCTCTGATTCAATCCTCGGTTTCACAATATGATATAACAACTCTCTTTTTTTTTTTGTTAACGCGTCAATTACATGTTAATGCACCAATGATGGTGATAGTGGATAGGGAACATGTTATGGATTTTTGCTAAGAATATTGGATTCCGACGGCATAACTTAGATGATCCATTAAAGACATTAATCATTATCAAGTATCAGGTACAATTAAAAAAAACCATAATTATATTTAGAAACTGTTGGTATTTTTAGAGTAAATGAATGGGGTTTATTAATAATCTCTCAAGAGATTCATAGTTATATGTATTACGGATATGGTGGAGGAGTTAAATGTTCGTAAATGATATAATATGGATCGGTGAAACACATATGTGTTTGGTAGTAAAGTTGTTCGGTTTGTGAGTGAGGTATACCTCAAATCGGGTGAAGTAGAACTCCGTCTTCATGACGAAAACAAAATTTTCTTTATAGAAATGTAACTCGGTCCGTGTTAGATTTAACTCGGACCGTGTTGATTGTCTGAGGAAAAAATTCGTGTTGCACAGAAATTTGACACGGCCCGTGTCATGTGGAACTCGATCTGAGTCAAAAGTCTGTGAGAAGTACTTCATGTTGTGTCAAGTGTAACTCGAAACATGACAGTTATATACGAACTGATGCGATTCTTCGCGTAATAACTGCAGATTTTGCAACTTTTGGTGATGTTCTTTGGTGTTTATATACTAAAGACGTCAGAATAAGTTGGTCAAGAGATTAATTCGATTTTTGAGAGATTTTGAGAGCACTTTCGGAAGTTTCTTGCAAAAACTCTCCCGAAAGCTTTTGTTCATCTTCTTCTTCACGTTTCCTTGTCTGTGCGTTCTTGAACGAGCAATTCTAGAACGTATTTCTCTTCATTGTATCTCAGAATCGTATTCCGGTAGTCCTTGCTCGTAACGGACGGAATAACGGTTTTAGGAAAGTGTCTACACGCCTTGAAGAGATATCCGGTCCCTCGATTCGATTTCATTCTCGTTTTTCCGTTGTTTTTCCTCCAGATTTCTAACAATCTAAAACCGTTATACACTCGAGGATGACATCTTATGTGAGGGATTTGGCTATGAATTTTCACAAACTCGACAAGTTCGAGGGCGTGGGCTTTAGGCGGTGGCAGAAGAAGATGCACTTCTTGTTGACAACGCTGAAAGTCATCTACGTCATCAGCACACCCAGACCGGAAGAGACCGAAGAGGAAAATTTAGCGCAGGTATGTATACAGAACAAATGGGACAACAAAAACTATGTATGTTGCGGTCATATTCTCAACGGTATGTCAGACGAACTTCTTCTTCGTTTGTTGTTGATGATTTCGATGTGTCTATGTTGTGGCATGCAAGACTAGGACATGTTCATTACAAACGTGTTAACTTTATGTCGAAAATGGATTTAATTCCACCATGCACGTTGAATGAGGAAAATGTATTACATGCATGAAAACAAAAATAACCCGTCATTCTTTTTCTAGCATAGAACGAAGTTCAGAAATGTTAGAACTAGTACATAGTGATCTATGTGACTTGCATGGTACACCATCTTTAGGAAATAAGAAATACGTAGTAACGTTCATAAGATTCTACTCGTTTTGCTATGTGTTCTTGTTGCATTCGAAGGATGAAGCTCTAGATAGATTTAGAGCGTATAAATCCGAGGTTGAATTACAACTCGGGGTTAAGCTTAGGATTGATAGGAGAGGGGAATACTATGATCCTAGGACGTATGATGAGGCCATGAAATCGCAGGATGTAGCTTTTTGAAAAGAAGCAATACATGATCAGATGGACTTACTCGTTTTGCTATGTGTTCTTGTTGCATTCGAAGGATGAAGCTCTAGATAGATTTAGAGCGTATAAATCCGAGATTGAATTACAACTCGGGGTTAAGCTTAGGATTGATAGGAGAGGGGAATACTATGATCCTAGGACGTATGATGAGGCCATGAAATCGCAGGATGTAGCTTTTTGAAAAGAAGCAATACATGATCAGATGGACTTCATCATGAGCAACGATGAAGAGGGTTCCGGAAAGAAGCGATAAATGATGAGATGGACTCTATCATGAGCAACAACACTTGGATCTTAGTAGATCCTCCTCCGGGTTGTAAACCGATTGGTTGCAAGTGGATCTTCAAAAAGAAGATGAGAGTCGTTGGAACTATCGATAAGTTCAAGGCTCGTCTAATAACTCAAGGCTTTAGGCAAAAATAGGGTATTGATTTCTTTGATACGTATGCACCAATAACTAGAATAGCTACAATAAGATGTTGATCGCTCTTGCAATAATAAACAATCTTGTGATCCACCAAATGGATGTCAAAATGACATTCTTGAATGGTGATCTAGAAGAGGAGGTGTATGTGAAACAACCAAAAGGTTTTATACTATCGGGATAAACACACACAAAATGTGCAAGCTAGTCAAATCGTTGTATGGGTTGAAACAATCACCCAAACAATGACATCAAAAGTTTGATGACATCATTTTGACTAACGGTTTTTATCTAAATCAATCAGACAAGTGTGTATATAGCAGACTTGATGATAACGATCATTGAGCTATAATTTGCTTATACGTGGATGATATGCTCATATTCAGTACAGAATTAGAGCAAGTCGAGAAAACAAAAAATTTCTTGTCATCGAAGTTTTCGATGAAAGATCTAGGAGAAGCGGATGTTATCCTTGGAATTAGGATAATGAGAGATCGCGGTACGATTTCACTCTCTCAATCACACTACATTGAGAAAGTGTTAAAACGTTTTGATCTCTACGATAGTACTCCGATTTCTACACCGATGGATTGTAATGCTAAATTAGTAGCAAACAAAGGAGAACCAGTGTCTCAACTTGAATATGCTAGTGTCATTGGATGCTTAATGTATGCTATGACTAGCACTAGACCCGACATAGCATCGCAGCTCCACCTAGTAGGTACAGCCAACCACTCACCGAGGCATGATCCTCTTCACTAGAGTTCCAACTCGCATCCGTATATCCTTCTAACACCGATATTAGAGGATTTAACTCATTGAACTCAAGATCTAACGTTGTATTAGACGTTGAGTTGAGATTCCTCTAATTGTGATTTAATCAATAGGCCCAAGACCCATCCCTATAGTCATTTTGTGCAGCATGTCCCTCGACAAACTCTTGGTAAGAGCATCAGCCAAGTTTTGTTTCGTACGCACAAAATCCACCACTATGGCCCCGTCTTTTATAAGACCGTTTACATAGCTATGTCGTAAACCAATGTGTCTAGACTTTCCGTTATATACATGGCTATATGCCTTAGCCAACGTTGCTGCACTATCGCAATGT